GACAGAGTCTTTGTTGCCCTGGGTTGACTGCTGTGACGTCATAGCTCATAGCAACCTCAAACTCTTGGGCTCAAGCAATCCACTTGCCTCTGCCTCTCTTGCCTAGCTCAAATACATTTTGAAAGCAGTCCAAATTAATTCTAACTTTACCATTAACTTTAGAATTCTTTATTATTTAAACATATATATTAAATCCAAGAGTAAAAGTCAACACTAGAGCTCTTTTAGAAAGTCTTTGTAGAGAGATCTTCTAGTCAGTTATAAGGTAAATCATCGGTGCTTTGTCAGAAATGAAGCTATGAATGATGGAAAGAAACTGACACAAAGATAATAAAAGTGGGAGAATAAGGAATCCTTACTTTTTTATTGATACATGATATTTGTACGTGTTAATCGGGTACATGTGATTTTTTTTTTTTATATATATAGGGTGTATAATGATGAAGGTGTCTAGGGTATCTACACCACTAAACTTGACTCTTTAGAGTCAACTTCCCCAGCACAGATGGTACTATTGATACCATTAGACTGAGGGGACTTAACATGCCACTGTGGTAATTCATACTTTGCGTATTCGATAAATTGATAGGTGTATATAACTTATAAGGGTGAGATTTTCAGTGTGGTTCTCCAAGACAAGGTTCTGACATTTTCTTATACTTTAAAATAAAATTGATTAATTTAGTTAAGAAGAGTAAGTGGTGACCATGTGAAAATGGTGAAGTTTTTTTTTTCTTTTTTGCCTAAGGCAGGCAAGAGATTTCTGTTTGCTGTGGTGTATCTAACCTACCCCCATTTACTTAAGACTACATTTGTCTGCCTCCTTTTCTAAAACAAGACTGAGTTCTTTTTGCATGTTTTGATATCCCAGTTACAGTGTCCCACTCTATTTTGGAGTGAACACAAGAGGCTTACTGAGATGATACTGACAGATGTGTCTCCAGATGGGATAATCTCTGAAATAATTTGCTAAAGAAATTCAACCTATTCTGAACATACCCTTTCTCTACTAAATAATATATATTTTTAAATTGTGGTAATCTATCTCCTAAAAACCTACATATTGTGAACTCATGACTTGAGGAAGTGTGAAAGGATTCAATTATTTTATGTTGTAAAATGCATTTGTGGTAAGGTATAAAGGGTAGGAATGTTTTTGTTCTGTACATAAGGATCTCTAGTGTTGAGAATGGTATTTGGCACATCAATATCAAAAATATTTGTTGAATGAATGTATTATGCTATATATATTATGTTTCTATATTTCTGTTCATTAAAAAGAACATCTTATTTCTGATCTCAAAGTGTTTTCTGCAAATGTGAATGATAGCGAACACATTCATAGCAGTTTAAATATTACCTGTCTTACTCCTCTTCAAACTGTAGTTATAGTAACTTTTGCTTCTGTACTTTTTTAAAGTTATCAATTTTTAATAATCTGCAAAGAGCTGTACAGAACTGTATGTAATTTAGGTGCTAATTAGTAACAGGTATTATTGCTCTCACCAAGAATGTAGCACAGTAATTTACACATGGTAGTGTTAAAAATTGAGTAGATCAAGGAGTTCACATTCAATTAAGAAAAAAAAATAATGATGGTATATAAACCTATACAGAAGAAATGCCTAGGAATTAATATGGCTGGAAAAGGACGAAAGCAGTGCCTTAGAGAAGAGGTGCAGTGGAAGTGGGCCACTGTCACTCCATCACTAGCATCAGCATCACTAAGTCACTGAGTGCCCACTGTGTTCCAGGCATTGCACCAAGTACTTATCTCTTAATCCTCATATAGCCTACGAAGTGATGTCTTATCTTTATTTGATAAATGAAGAAGTTGAAGCACAGAATTAAATGACTTGCCTGAGCCATATAGCTAATCTATGATTAAGCTAGGAATAGAAATAAGTATGATTCCAGAGCCTGTTTTTGGAAGCTGCACAAGTGCTGATGAAGAAGAGAAAGGGAAAGACGTATAGAAGGTGGAGGTGCAGGGACCAAGCACATGGAGTTGTCTAGAGAGTGGCAAGTAGTTCCATGCGGCTTGAGCACTGTTGCTGCCCAGAAGTGCACGGTAGGAGATGAAGGCAAAGGGTAGGCTAAGTACAGACTTAACGTGTGGCCTAAGCATGGAATTTCCAAACAAGAAAATGGCAGTTTCCCTAAAAGAGAGCAGACAACTTCATTTCTTTTTCTAAGACTGTTCTGGCATGGTAGTAGTCTCTGACTGTGGTTCACAGTGAGTGCTTCAGGGCTTTTTATCTTTTCAAAGCTATAGCATTCAGTTTTGTCTTCAGCAGATACTGTTCTGGTGCTGACCAAATGAAAGCCTACTTTTAATAAGGTGTCAAGCAGTAAGCTGAGGACATTTGCTCCATTAGCCAATTTTCGGTTATCAGGTTTTATAGAAACATACCTGGAACACACAAAAAGAAATTTAAACATAAAGCATTCCATTAATAACTGGCAAAACTACATACATAAATTTGACTTATAACTTCAAAAGCATTATATCATTTTCAATCTTTTTTTTTTTAGAAACCTCATTTACAAATCCAAATTTGTAGTTTTGGGTACTGAAAAAAGAGACCTTATGAATTCCAAAGTCATTTTGATTGGCTCAGTACCTATAGTTCAGCACCAAGGGCACCCGCCACATACACCAGAGCTGGCAGGTTCTAACCCAGCCCACGCTTGCCAAACGACAACTATAACCAAAAATTAGCCCGCGTTGTGGCAGGCACCTGTAGTCCCAGCTACTTGAGAGGCTGAGGCAAGAGAATCGCTTAAACACAAGAGTTTGAGGTTGCTGTGAGCTGTGACACAACAGAACTCTACCAAAGATGACATAGTAAGACTGTCCCCCCCCACAAAAAAGTAATTTTGATTCCACATTTAGAAATATAACCAACATTGATGGATTTCATTGGGAAATTGTTTTTTGGACCAAACAATTTGATCAAAATTTAATTGTCTTTTAATTTTTTACATAGTATAATCTATTCCCAATTTTTATTCTGAATTTGCTTTTAATCAATTTAATTGATCAATTTCATCGATTGTTTTTAAGGAAACTGTACATTTAAAAATTTTCTCCCCAATCTAATTTTACCAATTATTAAGAACTGATATTATGAATTGCCTTTTGTGACTTACTCCTACCAATCCATTTTTTATATGAAATTCTACAGACATAAAATGTCAAGATTTTAACTGTCATCTTTTACTCTGTAATTGTCCATTGTCAAATAGTAAAACTTGGGGTTAAAAAGCCTCTGTAATGGAAACAGCAAAATTTTTTATTCCCTGGGCAACTCTATAAGACCAATACACATAAGTCAAGAAATATAATACCTGAACTTTTTGGATTGCTCTGTCAGTTTTAACAATGTCAACATAACATGTCTGCATAGATATAACTACATTACCCCTTTTCTGCCATCAAGAATGTTTTTTATCTCTTTGTGTCTCTTACTATTTGTGAGAAGTGAAGGAAAGGATAACTTAGATTAGTTCCAGTCAGAAACCTAAATAGTTTTATGGAATAAAAAGGTGCTTGGAGGGGCGCCTGTAGCTCAGTGGTTAGTGTGCCGACCACATGATCCAGGGCTGGTGGGTTCAAACGGCCCAGGTGAGGCGTGGCGGGCACTTGTATTCCCAGCTACTTGGGAGGCTGAGGCAAGAGAATCCCTCGAACCCAAGAGTTGGGAGGTTGCTGTGAGCTATGACATTATGACACTCTACTGAGGGTGACAGAGTGACACTCTGCCTCAATTAAAAAAAAAATGCTTGGAGACATCCCTAACCTTTTAATAATTGTGACTGAAATAGAATGGTTGTTGATTCTCATGTTTAGGAACTTATTCTAGGCAAAGAAAACAATTTAATAGCAAGATCTAAGAAATATCAAACTGCAAAGCACATCAAAAAAAAAAATACTAATGTTTGTTACAGCAAATTTTTAACATAAGGAAATCATTCCATCTGCCCCCAAGTCCCAGATCTTGATTGTATAGCCTCGAAATTTTGACAAAGAGAAAAACAGTTACACACCATCTTATAAAAGAATTAAGATACAAATAGCAGGCTCAGCGCCTGTGGCTCAAGTGGCTAAGGTGCCAGCCACATACACCTAAGGTGACAGGTTCGAATCCAGCCCAGGCTACCAAATAACAATGATGGCTGCAACCAAAAAATAGCTGGACGTTGTAGTGGGCACCTATGGTCCCAGCTACTTGGGAGGCTGAGGCAGGGGACTTGCTTGAGCCCAGGAGTTGGAGGTTGCTGTGAGCTGTGATGCCACGGCACTCTACCTAGGGGGACAGCTTGAGGCTGTCTCAAAAAAAAAAAAAAATGATACAAATAGCATGTATATATAGTTAGTAGATGATAACAAGTAAAATGCACTTAAAAGAAATATTGAGGGTGGCGCCTGTGGCTCAAGGAGTAGGGCACCGGCCCCATATACTGGAGGTGGTGTGTTCAAACCTGGCCCCAGCCAAAACTGCAAAAAAAAGAAAAAAAGAAAAAAAGAAATACTGAGCTAATTAAAGTAATTGATTCCCATTTGAGGCCAAACTGAAAACTAATAGATTTCAAGGCACAAGAATGCAATAGAAAAAACCAATGAGAAATAGAAAATCTAAACTTATTTTAAAAATTTAAAGGCAACTGTATTTTTACATTTGAGCCAGTTTAAAAAGGAGAAGTCAGAATGAAGGCTACCAAAGAGACTCTAGAATCCTGTGACCATAACTTGAGCTTGATAATATGGTTATCACATAAATGGGCATCTATAAGATGCAAGCCAAATGTTTCTAGTACTGTGAATTCGCTAGGTTGCTAGGTTAACAACTTAATAGAGTGGTAAAACATAAGCTGAATGACACACTAAACTATTAGGAGTCTTTCAGCCTTACTTCTGTGCTTTCCACCTTCCAAAAACATCTGAATAAACAGATTAAGATCAGGGAATGTAAAAAAAAGAAAAAATTGGTAACTGGGCAGTTAAGTACTTTTCTTTTCTTTTTTAAATAACAGGGAGGGCTTTATTTCAGCTGTTGGAGCAAAACAACATAGAATTCAAAATGGCCACACTCCCCAACTCTCTGGGTCTTCTCCTTTTTATCCTCAGTCAAAAAGTTCCAGCCCACAGGTACCTTTCTCATTGGTCAGTTTGAATTAAGCTGGAGAAGCTGTTCCAGCCCCGATAGAACTATAGGATTTCACAGAAGAGGCAAGTTCCAGGTTCCAGGAAGTTAAGTCTACAAATTCTTATGAGCTGAGTCACCATGGGGCTGGGGGGATGCTGCAGGTGTATCCTTGGGGTCTCCTTGAGAAGACCTCTGTTCTCCTAGACCTCACCTTTCCCGGGTATCCTCTCTCATTCTCCCCTTTGAGACTCCATATATATTTTAATTTGGGGTCTCAACATCAGCTTGTTTCTGCAGGAGCCTGTATTAATTTAGAAGATTGGCTCCAGGGGTTACACTGATTATGGAGCAATCCGCCTTCACTACTTCTTTTTTTTTTTAAGATTTTTATTTATTTATTTTTTAGAGACAGAGTCTCACTTTATTGCCCTTGGTAGGGTACCATGGCATCACACAGCTCACAGCAACCTCCAACTCCTAGGCTCAGGTGATTCTCTTGCCTCAGCCTCCCAAGTAGCTGAGACTACAGGTGCCCACCACAACGCCCCACTATTTTTTGTTGCTGCAGTTTGGTGGGGCCGGGTTTGAACCCACTGCCCTTGGTATATCGGGCCAGCGCCTTACTCACTGAGCCACAGGTGCTGCCCCCTTCACTACATTGAGCACATTTCTTTTGCTGCAGTCCTCACTGTCTCAGGTGCTCTCTATTATACATTTTCACTTTTCACATTCGACTTTACACCACTTTTCTACAAAATCTAAGGCACATACGTATTTCTGGTCTGTCCTATAGATTCTTTCCCTGTTCCTTCTGCTGCAGCACTTTTGCATAGCTCTGCCGGCATCAAACTTCAGTCACCTGGCTGGGCTTTCCCTATTTCTCTGGTCTGGATCAGCATTCAGATTTCAGGGACTGTGACTCCTCTCGGGTCCTCTACCCAGGCCTTAATTTTACCGTGGTGGGCGGCTAATATACATATGGGTTTTCACTTTTGGGCAGTTATGTACTTTAAAGTGTGCATTTTAACACTGGAGTTTTTATCCCAGTCGCCAGAGATCTCCATTATGTCACTTTATGCAGATTAATCTCTACTTTGAAATTGGTACTATATAAAAAAAAAAATCACAAACACATGGGATAGAAAACCTTCTCAACTTCAAACAACTGAAAAGAATAGCAGTTGGTCACACACATACATGCAAAAGTTCATTTTAAAAATAGTTCTGATTTTGGAATTATCTATGGTGGAAGTTTAAATACCTTTCTCATGTTAAGATGAAGAAAAATTTCTGTGCTGTTTAAATGTTTAAGAAGCAATTAAAAAGATGGGGGCTATGTATACAGAGGAATATGTAAATTTTTGTTTCTTTTTTTTTTTCGAGATTATAACAACTTTCTCCAAATGCATGGCTTTTAAGACGTATTTATTAATAGTATTTCCAGGACATCCTCTTAAAATCAACAACACCAAATTTCGTCAAGTTTCTTTTTGAAGATGATCCCCAAAGAGGTCATAATTAATCAAATTTTAAAAGCTAAGCAATTGATCATTTCCCTTCTGTTTAAGTATCCCACCAATGAAAATAAAATTGTACACAGAGGTACCAGGTTTTCTTCACAATCACCCTATTGACTGCCTCTTTTCCCAATATGACATTTCAACCTCTTTGGAAGGACAGGAATTTATGAAGTATAAAAACTTAAGAACTGTCATACTGTTACACTGCCCAGTGATCTCTAGTTGGTAAGCAGAGAGGCAGACGCTGATATCCTTCCTGATGACCGCTGCTTAAGTTAAAAAGTATATTTTATTTTAAATGCTATCAATAAAGAATATAGGCCTTTTTTTTCCCTCTTAAAAATTAAAGCCTGCTTTCACAGTAAGTAAAATAACAGAATAGTATTAAGACACTTTTAAGGGGGATAAAAAAAAAGTCTGTGACAGCAGAGTGGAAATCAGCCGTAGGGTGCAGCAAGCGTAGAGGTAGAAAGTGAATAATTGACTCAGGAGCAACTATCTTTAACATTTTGACAGCCTGCCGCAATATTGTGAGTTATATTAGGAGCCAAGGAAGTTAACAGAATACCAAATTTGCCATGAGATACATCTGCCTTTAGGAGTGTTTAAAAATAAAGCTGCATGAAGAAAAATCAGTAGTCAAATCACAAGGACTAAAAGAACAAACACATACAAGGTGTAAGGAAATCAGAAGCTATTGAGCAAACCTTTATTATGTTCAAGTTACTAAAAGAGTATCTTTAAAAAAATAATGCAGTTCTTTTCTAAGCCAAATTTATTAGCAATGGAACATAACCTATAAAATTATTTCCTCCTACAATTTGAATTACCATTGTCCTAGCTTTGCCTCTGCAAATGCCTCTGCAATCTTCATTTATTCCTACTGATCCACATAATACACATAACAATAATCTCTTTCACTCTGAGGAGTATCCCAGTTTGGAGAATAATTATTTGATCATTCTAGCCAACTCCACTGGTTATCCCAAAACAACTTTGAATAATCATTTTTCCAAGAATGATTGAGGAACTTTCAGTTTTGAAGGAAAACTTCAGGTACTGTTGTAGAAGAGAGTTAGTTCAGAGTACAAAATTACCTGACTCCAGTGTGGTTATCAGTAGTGCTGTCAGAGCTGCAGTGGAAAACCAGGTCATGGTAAGGTCTTTGTGGAGGTAGCTGAAGTGAAGTTGTCTGAGAAGACAAAGAGTTGCCACTCCAGGCTAGTGCTAAAGGTTGCTCTGTAAACACTGTAATCCTCTCAGTTAGGATCTCAATTGTTTTGCTGCAAGAGCCAAACACCATGAAAAAAGCTTTAATGTTCCAGGTCTGGACACACACCTCCACAAGAGCAGCCATGGCTGTTCCAGGTGCTGGGTTAAAAGGTCAGCCAGAGAGTCAAGTTCATAGAAAAGAGCCCCTCTCAGAAGCCTGTGATAGTCTGAAAAGTTAGTAGGTAATAAAAGCTGGTGAATTCTCAAAAAATCTAAAATAAAACACCATCTCTGCCCACAAAAATATAGCCATCAACCATCCTGAATTCTTGGTCTCTGCTAATATTCGAGCCAACTAGGAGGCAGGAAACTGCTTTAGGGTAGCAAATCTGGTTGTGAGTATCTTCCCTCCCACATTCAGAGTAACCAGCAAATCTGGTTTTGAGTATCTTCCCTCCCGCATTCAGAGTAACCAGTTCTTGACCACTCATTCTTCCCTAGCTTCAAACCAGAGGCTGCCATCAGCCAGACTTAAAAAGAACTTGTAAATCAACTTGTAACCACAAATGTTTCTGCTTATATATAACCAGACAATATAGAGGAGGGAAGAGTAACAAAACCACAGATTTAGATTCCCAGGTAACTACTACAAGGCAAATAGTATGTCCATAGCTGTGTTTGCAAATCTGAGTTGCTTGGGAACTTGCAGCACATAAAATGAAAAAGCAACAAACTGGTGAAAAACCAAATAGTTTAAGGAAAACTGCCAGTGCACCTGAGGATAGACATCAAATGGATCCCTTTTCTGTATTTCATAAAAAACTTTATAGAAAGCTGATATAAATCTGTATTTTAAAAAGATTACTGGGAGCAGAAAACTACTCCCCTTCCTAAGACCCTCTCAGCTACCATCAGCCTTTGCAGCAGAGTTAAGATTTTACAGATAAATGTCTTAAATTCTTATGATCCTCTTAGTAATTTAGTGGCCAAATCATTAGTTATCTGTTAGGAATAAGGCAGCCATTACCTCAGCCTACCAAGCTTTATCTTATTTGACTGTTCTCACAGCTAGAAAGTAATGATTTCTTCTGTACTTTAAATTTAGTTGTCATCTTTATCCTTGTCCCCACTTCACAACCAAATTAAAGGACTGCGGTAAAAGCACTAGGCCCTCAAAGTCTACTTCACCTAACTTTCAAAGGAATGTCTTGTTCCCTGACACAGATAAGACAAACTAAAGAACAGTTGTAAGATAAAGTTACTTCTTTGTTTTCATCTGAATTCTAGGCAAAGTGAGAAAATTAAGTATTTTTATTTTATAGGAGATAGGGTGTCTTCATCTCAGGGAAGCATTAGTATTCAGCTGATTACTCTGTACTTTATAATGGCTTACAGATTGTTTCATCTATTGTTTAAGTCTTACTACACTTAAAATTCTGTAAGTGGATTGGGGTGATTATACAGTTGCTATGATACTTTGGAACAACACAACACTCTGCTGCCAAAATAAGGGTAGATGTCCTATTTCCTGCTCTTGCCAGGTGTTAGATTTCTTTTTTAACCAATGCCTTTGCTTGTACTGCTACCTAGTATTTCTGTATTTCATCACCTTTGATAAAAAAATCTTTAGAAAACAAAGGAGAAAGGGGCCAGGCTAAAATCTCCACCCTCTTAAAAATGTAAACTTACCATAAGAAAATTACCAGTTTTTGTTTATATAAAATTTACATTTTGCTGATAAAGGACTCAAACTTCTATAGAAAAACTTGTAAATCCCCCTGTATCTTCAAAGCAGCTCTCCTTCTCAAAAGAACGTTCACTGTCAAAAACAGTTCCTTTACAAGAGTAGCCTTTACCGCATGTTTAATGAATAGTCACTACTAATACTACCCACCCTCATCAGGATAGTATTAGATCATATGATCTCTCAACCTCTGTATCATGAGCAATATGAGGAAGAAGATAATTATTTCAAGAAGCAACCTTTAAAAAGAAAAAGAGGGTTCAGGACAATACTACTAAGTTTCATTTTTATCTTTATAAACTACCTAATTTTAACAGTACATATGGACATTACTTTCGAAAAGAATACTTTTGAAGGAAAATACATGACTGGAATCTTGACCAAATCTGATTTACTACACTGGTTTCTAACAATCTCTAACAAAAGACAAAGAACTGCATACTTGTAAGAGATTTTATAATAGTTTATATTTGCACACAAATTCTGCCACATTGTTCAGCACCACCAAAGTAAAATTCTTGAATCTTTCACTGAAAATGAAAAATCCATCTGTCACCTGTTCCCAGTAAAAAACTGATTGTTCTACAAAATTGGCTGATTTTGTCAGATAGGAACTGAAGTTTGAAAGATAGTCTTTCCAAGTAGCCAATTCATCAAATAAAGACCATTCCAGGAATATAGTAGGACCAAAGAAAACAACAAGGCCAAAGAGAAGGACCACCAAAAATGACTGGTAAAAGCTCCAGGGAATTTTACTAATGAATGTGCCAGTGTCTTGAGGCAAAGAAAGTTTATCCACATCTACTAGTTTAATGTCCTCCCACTGACTTGTATCAAAGTTCTTCATAACAGGGCTTGTGGGCAAATTAGATGGCGGTAAAGGAGTTTCCCTGATTACTTTGATTTTCTCTCTGAACTCCTGCATCTGTTGCAGAAATATGATGGGTTCTGACACATCTTTGAAAGCCTCAGCAATGTTAAAGGCCATCCGTTGCTCCTGCAAGATGGTGTTGAGTTTGTTGATTTCTGGGTCATATGCCTGCATAACTGCAAGTTTCATGGTCTCAAAGTCAGAGAGGATTTCATTCTTTTTTTGATCCAGGGTGTGTTGTAACTTCTCAAAAAACTCCTTCACTTTATCTGAATCTTTAGTCAGTAACTGTAGGGACTTCCTCTTGCTAGTTTCCAAAGTATCCAAGCGAGAAAGGGCATCTCCTCGACGCCAGGTCTCAAAGCTCTGGAAGAGGGACTCGAAGGCATCCCTCTCCTGAGCATAGGCATCTTCAATAGAACAGAAGACATGCTTGGTGTGGTCACCACAAGTAGCACAGACCCCACAAATCAGCTGCATATCAGTCAGGCAGAAAATGTTCAGAGGCTGCCCCAAGTGTCCTTTGCATACTGGCATTTTGGGAGAGACTTTGATCTTGTTATACTTTTCTACAATGCCCTTCAAGGAGTAATTGACCTGTAGGCTGTTAACTCCAGTGGCCGAAGTTTCCTTACGGCATGTGGGGCACTTGAATGGAGATGGTCTCCACAATGAATTCCGCACATTCCCCTCGAAGATACCTTCTAAACATTTTTTGCAGAAGTTGTGGGAGCAAGGCAAAACTCGGGGATCATCAAACAGGCTGCAGCAAATTGGGCAAGTGAGATCTTCTTCAAGCAGCTCCATCACATCCTACCAAAGAGAAAAAAAACATTCTATTTTACGCCAATAATCCCCTCCACTAGAACTATATAATAATTAGAAAAAACTACCTTCATGTTAAAATGATCTTTCACCACTAAAATAACCAGCAAAACCAAGGAAATAAGTGACAATTTGGGAAAAGAATGCATACCAACCCAGTTTTAATCCACTAGCACTAGAACAAACCCCTTAATAGCAGGGCACCCTGCACACAAGGCCTCTGTGTGGGCTTCTCAATAACAGGGTGGCTGAGACAGGGTTAGGACTAGGACAACTGCAAGTTGAGCCAGCAGGCCCCAACTGATTGTTTTAAAACAGAGCTGACTATTAGCTGCCAGAAACAAAGCTATTCAGTGTCTGTAACAGAATGGGCTCTTTACTCTGGGCCTATAAATATAAAATGGGATGTTGTTTAAAAGAAAGCAGCACAAAAATATAAATCCAAGCATGTACTCTCATGCAGATTTTTATTAGGAATTGGCATATTTTTCTATTTCAAAAGCAAGATTACAATTTTTTAAATCAGGCAAAGACAAGATGAGAGCTGCAATTCACTCTTACAGAATTAAATGACATTTCCTTGGTGTTTTTAAACCACGAAAACAGCAGTCAAAGCCATCTTGAGCATCAATTCTCAACAGTGTGATGGGCGGAACTTCCTTCTTTCAGCACATCTATGAGGTCAAAACTACTTTCATAATAATATGTTTGATTTTGAGCCAATGGTGTAAAAACGATGGTGGATAGACACTCCCAGCACCTCAGCGGGGATCAAGCAGGGCAGTTAGAAGCACTGAATGTATCACTAGTCACTACTGTTTTTACCACCACGCATCCACGACTGTTTTAAGTGGGGTAAGAATGAGGGAGTGTTGACTTTTGGGAGAGTATCAAAAAAAGATCCGCAATTATCTGGAAAAGCTATTAAAATATTCCTTCTTTTACCAACTACATTCTGTGTATGATTAGGGTATGTATGTATGTGTATACATTTTCTTTTTTTTAAGATAGTGTGATCACAGCTCATTGCAGCCTCAAACTCCTGGGCTCCCCAGTAGCTGTGACTACAGGCATACATCACCACTCCCAGCTAATTTTTCTTCTTTTTTCTAGAAATGAGTTCTCACTATGTTGTCCATTCCTCAAACTACTGGCCTTGAGCAATCCTCCCACCTCTGCCTCCCAAAGTGCTGGGATTACAGGTCTAAGCCACCGCTCCTGGCTTTCATCATCTATTTCAACCAAAATAATTTATTGCAACAGGTCAAATGCAGAAGCAGACCAAAGACTACAGCTGTCTTCTACTAAATAGCCATTCATCGTACATATATTAATGCCATGCTTTTCATAATTTTGTTTTGAAACATTTCTTTTCCCTAATTTGTTAACGTTAATAGGTTTATATCATTGTTATTTTAAATGAATTAATTTACTTTTAAATTAAATTTCAGTTTTTCTAGTACAGTAAACATCTACAGACAATACACACATAACTGCTCTGGTTTTTAAGAGTGTAAAGATATCCTAAGACCAAAATATTTGAGATCCCTTATCTAGAGAATACAATTTCTCAATGCAAATATATTATTTTATTTGATTTGATTTTTTTTTTTTTTTGAGACAGAGCCTCAAGCTATCCCCCTGGGTAGAGTGCCATGGCATCACGCTCACAGCAACCTCCAACTCCTGGGCTCAAGCAAGTCTCCTGCCTCAGCCTCCCAAGTAGCTGGGACCACAGGCGCCCGCCACAACGCCTGGCCATTTTTTGGTTGCAGCCATCATTGTTGTTTGGCAGGCCCGGGCTGGGGATTCGAACCTGCCACCTTAGGTGTATGTGGCTGGCACCTTAGCCGCTTGAGCCACAGGCGCCAAGCCCAAATAATTATTTTAAAATGTACATTCATTCCTAAAGTTGTAAAACCAAAAATAGTGGTACATATTTATACATTTAGTTTACTCATGCATACATTTTACACACACATACACGTCACATTGCCACCAAAGTCATAAAATAGGACCTAATAATTTGTAAGCCATCTTATAATAAAAAAATAATTTTTAAACAATAATTTCAACAGTCATACATAACTGGAACTTTATCTAGATAGTAAATAGTTTCCAAAAGGTAAGATGAGAATGATGTTCAGTGCCTATAATTCCACTACTTGGGAGACTGAGGGAGGATTATGTGTGCCCAAGAGTTCAAGGGTGCACTGAGCTATGATTGTACCACTGCACTTCAGCCTGGGCATCACAGCAAGACCCCACCTCTAAAATAAATAAAAGGAAGAATGAGCTGAGCTTGTAGGGCCACTTTGTTTATGATTTTATATTAGGTTGTGAGATACATGAGTACATATTTATAACATATGTAAAAGTACATATTA